CCTAGTCCAGATTTTTGCAAAGCCTACACCCTCATTAAAACCTGACTTTTGCCCTCCTCCCCATCGACATTTATTATTGTTTTTGACAGCCCAGTTTAGTCACTGTTTGAGCTGTTTCCGAATCCTATGTCAGCCCAAGTTGAAATCATAACCTAGAGCAACACTCACCTGTAAAATAGTTAACGTAAAATGTTTTTATGCGTGGCGTAAAAGTTTCCAGACGTACAGAACGGTCGGGTGTTTGCCGGGCCAGCTGGGTCTGACCTGCGGTGACCCCGATCCCGTGAGGCTTCGCGGCTCTTATGGTCCAGATCTGCTTTAGTTTTGATGCGATTTTGTCGCTAAGCGCGTAGACTGGACTACGAGACTATGCCGCTTAGCCGAGTCTGTCGGCTATTTTTAAAGCACCGGTTCTGCTTAGCGATTGTAATCGTCTAAGCGTGTCAGAATCGGGTGCTAAATGTTGGCTACGCCGACGACGTGACCTTGGCTAGAACACTCTAGTACTCAAGGCGGACGACAATAGGACAGTCGAGGATGAATAATCTCATCTTGACTGTTGGGCCAACAAAAACAGGATGACTCTGATCGGCAAGAAGAGCCAACTGCTCCAAATCTGTTTCTGCAGAACTGTTCCTGTGCCACCTTCTCTCGTGACCCTGGGAGGTGAACCCGTGCCGGTTGTGAACGCAGCTAAGGGTCTCGGGTTTATTCTTGACACTCCACTCCATGGTGACTAAGGCGTATCGACGACTAAATTACCTCAGACTCCTCACAAAGCAAGGCATGAGTGTTTCCGACCAGGTGTACCTAGCCTTGATCAGACCTGTGCTCGAGTACGGTCACGGAGCCTCTTGTTCAGCGGAGCCTCGGTGACCAAGGTTCTATGGGTATTGTCCCACATGGGAGTTGCGGTCATATGTGCGCGCTCGTTCTTCCGCCACCAAGAGAAGATCCTGTTCACCGCTGTGGAGCGCATCTGGCGAGAAATGCAAGTCGGGATGCTGTACGTCCTACAGAGCGAGAGTCCGATCGTGTGTGGCGGGGATGGCCGTGCCGACAGCCCCGGCCACTGTGCGAAGTACGGCTCGTACACCCTGATGGAGTTAAACCAAAGAAAGGTCATCGACGTGCAGCTAGTCCAGGTACATTTTTCTTGTGGCATGGCTTATGTGCATAGATTACCTGGTATAATTGTATTTGTATGGGAAAGTGTCTATGTTGGTTTGTATTACAGCTGTCTTTGCAATTTTTATTTCAGAGCAACGAGGTAGGTGGATCCTATCACATGGAGCAAAAAGGATTGGAGAAGTCCTTGGCGTGGATGGAGAGTGTGGATGTGGAGGTGGGGACTCTCGTCACTGACCGACACGTATGCATCAACAAGATGATCAGAGAGGATCACCCTACTATCAAGCACCTGTTTGACATCTGGCATGTTGCCAAAAGTAAGTACATTTTTTTTCATTTCATGAACATGTAGTATTCTAGTAAGGAATTATTGGTCATAAGTCAATCCTGTCTGGAATACACAGTACTGTATAGTTTGACAAACTTTTCCTTTTGTGTGCAGGGCTGTGGCACCATAACAATTTTATTCATAAGATCCCTGCATGTCCTTTATGTTTTGTAGGTGTGAAGAAAAAGCTCCAACACTTGAGCCAGAGGAAAGGGTGCCAGGTCCTGAAGCCTTGGGTGGGCAGCATCATAAACCACTTGTATTGGGCAGTGGTGTCAAGTCCAGATGACAACAGACAGCTCGCTGTTGACAAGTGGAAGTCAGTAGTGTCTCACATCTGTAACAAGCATGAAGGTTTCCAGGGACAGTTCCCCCGCTGTGAACATGGGCCTCTGGAAGGACGGGAGCAGGAGAAGGCCTGGCTTACTGCAAGTGAGTACTGGTATATAGTTAAAAGTTACGTAATTGTGATTTTGCTCATAAGCTGAGGTCAGAGAATTGTGATTTTGTTATTCCTGTATCCATCTTTAATTAGGGACATGCTGGAGTTCCTGTATTTTTCTTCCCTATTTTACACTCTATTTCTTCCCAATTGCCAACTTATGGTCATTTTTGTTCTTCATTCAACAAGAGATCATAACCACTAGAAAGAAAATATCCCTATGTTGTACATATTGTGTATTACTACAGAGGTTGTAGAAGGAAATTTTGTTTGTTTGGGTTGTTTATGTAGGTACACAACTGTCAACAGATGTAGAGAAGATAGTCTACAACGACAAGTTACTGAAGGACATTGGACGCCTGTCACCTGTTTTCCAGACCTGGTCACTTGAAGCCTTCCATAGTTTGATCTTACATTTTGCTCCGAAGATGTTTGCCTTCTGCAACAAAGGGATGGAATCCAGGTAATGATTTTGGTTGCATTTTGAGAAAGATTTTAGCATAACACAAGGGATGAGTTATGCCCTTACAGAGTGTTAATTCTGTGTTGTACTCCTCTTTCAGGGTGAAGCTTGCAGCGCTTCACTTCAATGAAAATGCGGACCGGGCCCACAGACAAACTGGTGATGGTGACCTGATGTACAGTGTACACTACCCAAAGCACAAGCAGGGAGGGTACATTGTTCGCAAAGTTCTGGAACAGCCATCCTTTGGTGTGTATAATAGCAAAATGAGTGAAGAAAATTCTGCTCCTGATTTCAA